AAAGTGTTCAGCAACTGTGGTGATTTTGAGAATCGTCAGCAACAGGAAAGCTGTTATGCATCCTCACCTCTTTCCTCAGGACCTAAGGGTCAATGCTACTTTCTATAAAGAGATATTGGAGAGTGTTGAGAGGCATGAGCAAAGAAGAATGCACACCCATTAAATCTCTGCACCGTCACACAATGTCAAAGTGACCCAAGAATGGATGTATTACAATATCCACGATTATATATGACCTCTTAGCTCTCCAGACCTGAATCTGTTAAACTACTATGTATGGGGTGTAGTCGAAAGAGAAGTCAATCAACTCCCCCCCCGCATTAACACTATAAAATCTCTGAAGTCCGCCATAATTAGTACAATGTCCCAAACAGATAAAGGTCATGTCAGCGTTTCAGATTTTGTACTGAAGCAGTCATCGAGGTTAATGGCAGATTCATTAAAAGTAGATGCGACAAGTAGAGTCTTAAAATTTATTAATACCAATTTTTCTGAAATAAATCTTTTCACTCATGACTTATGTGTCTTTTACTAAATTCATGTCCTCAAAGAACTAAGCAACCCTGTATAACATCCTGACTTTCATGTTTCCAGTTGTCTTTTCTGTGCACGTTTTTCTATTCACGAGAGAGCTCTGATGAAAGAGTTAAAACCAGTTCAGTGTTTTTTCTCCTTGTTTATTTTTCGAATTACCATTTTTACAGTAACTATAAATTATTTTGTTGTTAATGTTTCCGTTTATATTGCAATTATTATTATTATTATTATTATTATTACCCCCCACCAACTAGAGTGAGAAGAGTTGATTGGTTGATATGCATTTTTTACAGCTTATCAACCTGTTGTAGTGGAATGTCCCACGCTCCCTATCGCCTATGTGGACTGACTATATTAGTAACTTATATAGTGAGCACAGGATATACCTGGGGCTTGCTTCGGCAATTATTTGGAAATTAGTCTCCAGCTAAGTTAGTCGAAGTCTCTGCCTTGGAGCAGAGAAGAACCCAAACGAGGCTATGCCGAAGAGCAGAGTCTCGTCTGGGTTGGTAGACAGCGACCCGACTCCGTTTTTTAAGCAGTCTACGAGGAATTTTTGCCCGAGTCTACGGGCTCGGATACCCCACGTTAAATTCGGCCTTGTGCCACATCTGACCGCTTGAGGCGGTTGGCAAATATCCTTGCTTCGGCAATTAGTTGGACATTCGTCTACAGCTAAGCTGATCGAAGTCTCTGCCTTTGAGCGGAGAGGAACCCAGACGAGGCTTTGCCGAAGTGCAGAGTCTCGTCTGGGGTGGTAGACAGCTCCCCGACCCCGTGTATATGGGGTTTACGGGGAATTTTTGCCCCAGTCTACGGGCTCGGTTTAACACCGCATTAACACTGCCTCGCGGGGAGGTAAGGTAAGTAACCTTGATTTGGGAATTACTGGCCTGCTACCCGAATCCCTGACTTTCAGTAGTGTATTCTCTTTTACAACAAACCTCTCTTTCTTTCATCTACGCCCGTGTTGCTATTCCTCCACTCGAGTACCACCTTTGTCTGTTTGTAACCTCTTTAATGATACATCACAATCCGCTGTGGGTTATTTAAAGCCGAGACATATTTTGGATTATCAGAATTATTTAAACATTTTTTAAATAATAATGATTTTGCTAAATAAAATTTTACTTTTTAACCCGTAGCTGGGGGAGAGGAGTTGGGTTCATATTTTTCCCAAGGTTGTTTGCTCGGTAAGTGAATGCAAAGAACCCGACTAGATAGTGAGAAGCAATTCAAGAGCACAATTTGTAGGTTCCAGTTCTTCCTTCGATCGTTTAAAATGATTGATTGCGTTTTGTCTAAAACGTTATGAAAAGATAAAAAGCACGCCCTCCACCTAATGAAAGAACGAAACATAATCAAAATATTCCACAGATCTTATAACTTAAGAGAAATTATAGTGACATATTTAAAATGGACATTCGTCCTTGCTTTGAATATTGCAGCCAGTTTTGATCAGGTGCTCCTGCTATATATTTAGAGATTCTTGATAAAATACAAAGAAGAGTCTGCAATGTTATTAGTCCTGACCTGGCATCTCGGCTTCAGTCACTTTCCCAACGACGTAACACATTTTGGATTGTAAGAATTTTTGCGACTAAATATTGCATTAACAATTCGTTAAGAATAACAATGATTTTCCAGATATAAGTTCTACTATTTAACCCATAGCTGGGGGATGGATTCATACCTTTCCCATAAAAATTTAAAAAAAAAACACTCCACCCCAAAACAAAGAACGAGAAATAGTCAAAGTATTTCGCAGATCTTATAACTTAAGAGAAATTATAATAGGTCCCTCCACGAAAACGCTAAAAAAATCCGCATAGCGTGATGAAAACATGCTCCAGACTTAATGAAAATATAGTTTTATAGTTAAAAACTTTATGCTATTATTAAGAGGAAGGATCAAAGTATTTTTTGAATATTTAATTAAATTTTTTACTTCTTTTTAGAAGATTCAAAGTTTTAATTAATAAAAAGTTGTTTTTCTTGTGTCAGCAGTTGTACTAACTTTTAGCAAATTTTAACCTCTTCTTTTCGGTGACAGACATGAATTTGGAAATTCTTGCAAAAATCAGATAATTGTCGGATTTTATTAAATTTTCAGGACTTATTCACAAATGAATGAAAGTATTTTTTGATTTACTTTTATTAGAAAATCTTGGTAAAAATATTTTTTACTTGTATTTCAACCGCTTATTTAATTTTATGAAAACTTGAGAAATTCAAATAATTTTGTGTCTATATTAGCTAAATGCAGAATTCTTTGAAGAATTTAAATTATCGAGTTTTTTGTTTTTTTTTTTTTTTTGAAAAATCAGACTCGGTCTTACCAAAAATCTGTTCTAAATCGAAAAATAAAAATCACAACAAAACTAAGACATTATTTAATTAGAGAAACTTTATTTGCTTTTATGAATAATATATATTAAAAACAATAGTTCTGAAGAAAAAAAAATTCGACGAAAATGAATTTTTACAAGATTTGTTTTCTTTTTTTTTTTTTTACAATTTTAGACTGAATAATTTATAAAGTTTTTAAATCTTTTAAAATTCATTTTCAATGTGATAATTCTTAGGAAATATTTTTATTAAATAAAACTATATTTACTAATACTATATTTTAAAGCTTATTGCAATCTGATGACACCGAATATTTAAAAAAAAAATCGATTTGTTTTTGTACGTTTGATTACGTGCAGAATTTCTGAAGTATGGATGTACAAACCGATAAATCTATCATTAAGAGATCACGTTTTTTAAGTGTTGCTCCACTTTCTTAACTATGAACACGTTCGGCTGTCAATAAATCGATTAACACGTCCGAAAAACAAGGCCACGTAGTTATGATATGTTTGTATACATTTTATGCCATACGTAAATAATATTTGTCTCAAATCAGATTAATTTAACTTTAAATTTGCTAGTTTTTTTAAAATAACGTTTCAGAAATATACATTTTATTTTTGCAAGATTTTTAAAACTGAGAATTAACTTTTGTTTGGAAATGTGTCAAAAAATGGCCCTTTTGATCAATTGTACTAAAACAAAATCGAATCCAATCAATATAATTTCTGTTTAAAATACATCAGAGTATTTTAGTTACTGGAAATAGTAAATTTTAAATTCTTTAGCTGTCAATTAAAGCTAAAATGAAAGCTCCACGAAAGAATTTTCATTTTTAAAAATTCAATTTAAACCTTACGCATACCGAATTAGTGGAGGTACCTTAAGTATAGTGACACATGGCAAAAAACTAACGCTATGGTAGCAATAAAAGCAGGCAACTTAATAGGCATGAATATCATAAAAAAATAACAAGAAAGACATTTATAGTTAACGTAAAAAGGTAAGACGATTGACGTTGTATTTAAATTTTTGAAGATTGTAGTTATCAGGGAAGCAAGTAAGAGGAAGGGAGTTCCACTGTCGGGAAGCGCGAGAAAAGAAACTATTGGAATAGAAGTGGCAGTTGCATTTAACTATTTCAACAGTAAGAGGGTGGGACCTAGATGCTAATCTTGTAGCACGTTTAAATTCATTTAGTCGGGGCATCAAGGAAAAATCACATCTGAACAGTTGCCATGAAAATAGTTGTAGAAAAGACAGAGGGAAGCCACATCACGTCTATGAGAGAGTGACTGAAGTTGAGATATTAATAGGAAGTAATAGTAAAAAAGAATAACAAGAAATAAATTTATAGTTAACATAAAGTGGTAAGTGGAAAAAGAAAAAAAGAAGACAAAAAAGAAATGGGTCTATCAAGGACTGATTCGCTGTGCCTATCAATCATCTGTCCTTGATAGAGTTCTGACGAGAGAAGAATGAAAACCGATATTTTTTTTGTTCTTTGTCATTTTCTGTTTACCTTCTTACAGTAACTATAAAACATTTTATTCTATTCTTTTCTGTTTTTTTTTATTTTAATTTGTCCATTTTTATTGCAGTTATGAAAATACACGTAAAACTGAAGCTGCAGTTCATTTGAATGAAGTGTGTAATAGGGTGATTTTCTAAGCGTAGCTTAGGTATGGCACAAGGCCGAAAGTGTAGAGCACCCAGTGAGGATCAAACTCACTACTCAGTTGCAAGTTGATCTAGCGCGACAAGCTTGTTAACCATTACACCACGTCAAAGTACCGAAATGATGTGTGTGATATGAATGAAAGCGGACCGTTTGATTGATTGATTCATTTTTTTTACGGGTTATCAACTTTTTGCAACTTAAATTTAATTTAAAGCCAGAAAATATTTTTGGATTATAAGATTTTTTTTTGTTAGAGATAATGATTTAGTGATACAAGTCTTATTAATTAACACATAGCTGGCGGTGGATATACACCTTTCCCAAGTATATTTGCGTGTAAATGAATATAATGAACTCGACTTGAACTGGAACTCGGCTCTCTGTTTAACAATTCCGAGCCGTTATCCATTATACCACTTATACAGTCAAGCTTACATCACCTGCTAGTCTCAAGCGGTCACCTATCTATGTACTGACCAGGCCCAACGTTGCTTAACTTCGGTGATCGTACGGTGACCAGTGTTAATGAAAGAGGAGGTGGTAGAAAGTGAATTACTAATTAACCCATAGATGGGAGAGAAGAGATGGATTCATAACCTTCCCAAATGAATATAACAAACCCAACTGGAATTGGAACTCGGCTCTCTGTTTAACAATTCCGAGCCATTATTCATTACACTACCCGCATATCCAAGCTTACAGCAGCTGGTATTCAGTCACCTATCTCGGTACTGACCAGGCCCAACGTTGCTTAACTTCGGTGATCGTACGGTGACCGGTGTTAATGAAAGAAGAGGTGGTAGTGAGTGAATATTACGAGTTTAGGAAAGATAGTTGATCACTGATCTTTAACTTGAAAAAATTAAAATTGTCCTGTTCTGGGAAACATATATGCGGGGGTCTGTTGAATAAAGCAGAAATTCTTAGGAAAAAGCTGAGTAGAACTTTCCTTACAATTGGAATATGTAAGAAATGAGGCTGATTCAACTCCATGGATGTAGCATAGCATGCTCTAGTTATACACGTCTGAAGTGGTAGAATCAAAGAATGGAGCTCATTTGTCAATAGAAATGGTGACAGGAGAGTAAGCCTGAATGTATGTATTTATTTGCGTTAGTAAGTCCAATTCAGCTTTTTTAAAACTCCCAAATCTGTCATTACAGGCTACCTCACGATGAAGGCCTTGTGACAAACAAAGTGATGGTGAATGCCTAAGAACTTTCACTTCTGATTAAGGTATGAGAGATTATTGTTCATGTTTTATGCTCCGTGTTCCTTCAGGACGTGGGCGTTCATAGCTCTCCACGATTTCCTATCCTTTGTAGCTCTTAACAATGTTTTGTCTTATTTTTTTTGTTTTACTATCCGTCCGCGTCTATACTTTACCATCCAGCTCTTTAGGTGAGTCACTCGCTGTTTCCCTTTTGCTCTCAACATATCCAGTGAGTGTCAAATCCTCCAAGCCTTTTGTTTTCATTATGCGTCCAAGAAATTGATGATTCTCAGCGCAAATGTTCTTTTTTGATCTCATATGCCTTAAAACGCCCTCGTTGCCTGCATGTTCTGGCCATGGTATGCTCAGCATCCTTGTATAGAACCATACTTCTGTTGCCTCAGATCTCTTCATCCGTGAGGAAACATTCCAGCATTTGCTGGCATATATGAGGAATGATATTACATAGCAGTGCATAATAAAGAATAACGTTTAAGATTTCTGCATTGTTTCAATGATTTTATTCAAATCTTGTTAATATTATGAGTTAAATCCAAGATGTCGTCTCGTTATATGGAAAGATTATTGATACACTTTTGGAATATTTCGAGTCGAAGATCTTAGTCTTAAAATAAAACTGTGATCGTGGAATTGAAACAAAAACACAGTGACATAAATTAAGAGAAAATTAGTTCATGTTTTATAAAATTAGAATGAGTTTTTATGGGATATCCTTGTTGGATTGGTTCTCACGTATGGCGGGAAAATAGATTTTCTATAAGCCCACAAATTAGCTGAAACGTTGCTTACGCAAAAATGCCTCATCAAAAAAAGAAAAATGGAGAAAGAAGAGAACGGACAGAGAAATTGATAGACTAAAGAAGGGAGAGAAGGGTATAGATAAAGAGAGGTTCAGAGATAAAGATAGCTAGAGAGAGAGAAAGAAGGAGATAGATAGAGATAGAAAGGGAGAGAGAAAGAAAACAAGAGAGATGGAGATATAGAGAAAGAAAGAGAGGGGGTGAGGATATAGAGAGGGTACGAACGAGAGAGAGAGAGAGAGAGAGGAGGGAGAGATGTTTTGTGTATAGATAAGACTCCTGGGAACTTATTTTAGTCTCCTGTAATTATTTTCAAAAATTAACTTAATTTAGTTTTTAATTTCATTAAATGCAAATCTGAATTAGAAAATCTGATTGAATTTTAAAAAGAAACGAATGGGAGACGTTTGGGGAAATTTATTTTATAAAAATAACTTCAAATTTTAGTTTTTAATAGCCACCCACTCCCCGGTCGACCTAAATCATCAAAATGGAAACACAATGAAATCTTGTAAATATTTCAAGTGCAACTTTAATTTTTTTTTACGTTTGGATCGTAAGTTTTCTTTTACAATATAAGTAACGGCCATTTTAAACGGATCGAAAATGAGAGGATAAAATAGAGATGGGGAAATAATGAAATAGAGAAGTTATATGAAAGGAAGAAAAGAAAACGAGAAAAAAAGTAAGGATGATAGAAAGGAAATATTGAAAGGAAAAAAACGGTTGAGAAAAGAGGTAAGAAGTTAGATTGAAAGAGGTAAATGAAGGATATTATAAAAGAATTTGCAAAGGTAATGAAGAAATTCGTAAGTAATAAAAGGAGAAATGAAAAAAAGGAGAGGAAGAGAGGAAACGTGAATAAATTTAAGAAATAAATATAAAGAGTAAAGATGGAAGATAGGAACGAAAGAAGAATAAATGAAAGAGAGAAGAAAAAAAAAAAAAAAAAAAGAGAGGAAAAAAAAGAAAAGGCAGAGAAAAATGTAAGAGTGACGCAAAATTATTTGGAATAATTTTCCCAGAAGGACAGATCTAACTAGGTTGGCATTTAACGAAGGACCTCACGGCAGGCAAGCTTAATCAGAACATCATCAGCGACATCAAGGCGCTTCTATCAATAACGATATATATATATATATATATATATATATATATATATATATATATATATATATATATATATATATATAGTCATCCACAGACAGACTGTTTCGCTGTATCACAGTTCTTCAGTGTGGCTAGACGTCTGATTGAAAACTAACTGATTTGGCATCAGTCAGAGATCCTACGCCTAGGCTATCGTCGCACGGCAGAGAGAAAGGGAATTTTTAACGTTTTCTATACGAAATATGCCAGGAGAACTCAATTCATAGTTGAAGAGCAATATGTTAATTATTATTATTATTATTATTATTATTATTATTATAACAAGCGTGCTCATCTGTGTTTTTATACTCATATCGTTTTGGCTATATACCTTCCGGCCTTCTTCAGGCATCTCTCATCGTATCGATTCCTTTATTCAATTCGCAGTGGTTGACAGTTAATACTCACAAGTCTTACAGTTTTTGTGTCGCTTTTCGATATAAAAAGATATGAAAATTAAATGAAGAAAAACAGTAAGTGATGGTCGTAACGTCACAGGTTTTCAGACTATAAACGGGTCCATTAAGACAAGAGGAACAAGTCTGAGGAACTGGAGGAAAATAAATAACGGAAGCAAGAAAGAAATCGAACACGAAGAGAATGAAATAAAGAAAGAAGAAAATAAGGAAAAAGTATGCAACTTGAAGAAGAAGAAGAAGAAGAAGAAGAAGAAGAAGAAGAAGAAGAAGTCTATGACGAATAGAAATATTAAATCAATCAAGAATGAATGACTGCTGCGTCCAGACAGATAATTTTTATCTTTTGATTCATTTCCTTTTTTCTTTCTTTTTTTTTTTTTTTTTTTTTTTGTTGTTGTTGTTGTCGAGAATTGAGTGTGGACGGGGCAATAAACACACGATTATTTCCGGTGATGGCGGCAGAATCAATTTATTTCAAGTAAAAACTGTCATTTATTCCGAATTATGTTCTAATTTAATTCTTCCAAGCCGAGAAGGAAAGGGAGAAAAAAGAAGTAACAATGAAAGACGAATGAAAAGAGAGGATAATGAGAAGCAGAAAGATGGATTAGAGAATATAACTGAATGCAAAAACACCATTGGAAGATTTCAAAGATTTAATATCGTATGATTTCAAACATTTGTTAGGACATGGAAAGAATACATTAAAAAAAATGGTCTTTTCTGTTTCTGGAACTGATCATCAAATCCGGATTGTCTTCCGATATTTATTATACTAATCTTTGCTAAGGGTGGCAGAAGGCCAAAAGAAACTGTGAGATTTTTGTCAGATAACCTGGAGATAATTGACTGTGAGATCTGTTCGGTTATTGTTGGCGGGTGGTTGGAAGATGTATGTAAAGTGGTTTGTCGTTAGGCTTTCTATATGGTTGATATTAGCTTTTTTTTTGGGGGTTTTTTTTTTTAGGTTGAGTATGATTTCTAGGAAATCCACTTTGGGTTTGTGTTTATGTCTATATCGAATCCCATATTTTTGAAATATTTTTCTGGCTTTGTTTTGTGTATGTTAATTTTTTTTTAGAATTATGAGACCATCGTCTCTATAAAGGTCTGTATCTTTTTTTTATCGATTATTCTACTTAGTTTATGCAGTAAATGTATAACTATGAGTTTGCAGGTTTCCGCGCGGTGAAAACTTCCCATTGTAACGACAAAGTTAGACACGTGTCTTCGTTATCGAATAATAGTGATTTCACCAGTGCTTAATGATTTTTACTTCATTTTTGCTCATTTTTATTTGTTTTTAAGCTAAGGTGATGGCCTTACCTAGCATGGGTTCAGTTATAGAAGGATAGAAATCTTTTACATCTAATTGTATGAATTCGCCATTACGTGTCTGAAGAAAGAAGAAAAATATTCATTAAACTCACGCACACACACACACTTCCTCCCATCAAGCAATCTCCATATGATATTCAAGATACAGTAAAAATCAGCTACAATTATATCGGGAATATGATACAAATCCTAAAAGAGTACAACATAAAAATAATCAACAAACCACCCGCACAAATCAAACTCACTCGTAACTGCAGGGCAAAGGACAAATGTCCCTTAAATGCTAATTGCTTGCAAAACAATATAATATATCAAGCCACTATAAAATCAAAAGATAACGGAGAAAAATATACATGGAAGTAACTGAAAGACCTTGGAAACAGAGAAATTACGCATACCAAGCATCCTTTAAAATAGAAAATGCGCGAACAGCACAACGCTTTCTAAACATATATATGGAATTAAAAACAAAGTGAAATTTCACCAAAAATATCATGGAAAATAAGAAAAAAGCATCAGTCTACAACAATAAATCCCAAAACTAAACTTTGTCTACAGATGGAAATAGATAAGCTCACCTTCCA